TGCAGAGCCTGCCACAGTTGCGAGGCTGTCGCGGCGCATGCGTTCGAGCCGAATACGCGTGATGGAGAGCCACAGGGCAGCGCCCAAGATGTTGTTGACCGTTAGGAACTTGGCCTGGACCGAACTGGTCATGGTCTGCTTGGCCTCCTGCAACTTGGCACTTGAAAAGGCAAATATCTTCGCGGCACACTTGACTGGGTGGCCAGAGACATTGGTTGGCACAGACGACGGAGCTGAGCTTAGAGATCGAAGGCTATATTCCGGATGTCGAAGGAGAAGCTCCTCAAGCGTAGCTTTCGGCTCAATCGTGGCTGAACAACCGCTGGCATCCCGTAGCCAGGACTCCCTGTAGTAGAGTTCTCCGGGATCGAACGAGGTCTTGTCATCAACACGTTTCGGCTCGTCTCTCATGCAGTCACCCCAAAGCTTGAGGAACATGCCCATTCCTGCCCCGTCCATGACCACATGGTGAGCGCACAGACATAGTATCAGCCCCCCTTCCAGGCGTGTAGCTCCAATCACGAGGGCCGGGACTCTTGCTCCCGGGATCTGGTGGTTGATGAACGCTGGTACAGGACTAAGGCCCTCTTGGAAAATCGATAGTGGCGCGTTATCCAGCTTCAGCGCCTCGAAACTTGGTAGAGACTCTGGAGCAGGTGTCTCGACCAGAGCTGGCGGCGGGTCCAGAGACGACCATGATAGCGACAGCTGATTGCGCGGATGGCCGCCGTCCGGCGACTTGTGAACAGAGCCCCTGAGGAATGGAAGGAGGGAGGTGGCGTTGGCTAAGCCCTCGTTCAGCTTCGTCACGGCGCTCTCATATTGGTCTGTTTCGTAGACAAGAAACATGGTGGTATATATCCTTGGCATTAGCTGGTCGACTGGAGACAGCCTGCAGGACCCGTCATGATACGACTGCGACATATCGGCGGGATTGCGTAATTGAGTGAAATGGCTTTCAAAGTTCGGATCGACTGGTTTGTCAAGGACAGTGAAGGCACATTCGATGGACAAGATGCAGTCCCGTCTATTTCTATGTTTTCGAGATACGATATTTGTCGGGGCTAATCACCTTCTGTCCCCATTTGCGGAGTACCTACGTACTCATCCTAGGCTGCAAACGTTTAGCCTCACTTACATTCGGGGCCGAGAAGAAATGATTTGGGTCAGAATTCGAGCAGGCAGCAGCAATCAATACTACCCGGCGTAGAAGTCATGGCGCAACGGCGCCTATTCATCTCGGCGTCAGTGCAAAAAGGGCCACCCATTACCACCGAACTCTTATGGACACTGTTTGGAGAAATGACGAATTGGTTCAGGCATCTTTTTATAAATGGGGGAATGTTTGCGTGGCCGATGCTAGTCAAAGCTTGGCTACCAAGTCCATGGTGGGCGTGGCTGAGCCGAGGTCCGGGACCTAATCTGGCTCCGTTTACCCCCCAACTTATACCTATTACAGTAGATTAGTCGAGAGCAAAAAACCTAATTACTACATCAGTTTGGACCTAGAGGGTGAGGAAGGCCGCTGTTACCTGGGCTTTAACTGGGCCATTAGCTGAACTGCCCTGAGTGCTCCCTAAGCGCCCCCTGAGCACCCCCCTAAGTCCTCTCGAAGTAATACACCGGAGGCCAAACTAGGCCCCTATTAATGGGCTACACTTACTTCCCGGCGAGGTTTTGTTTCAGACGGGTGTTAGGGAACCTAGGAGATTACCTGCTCTTACGCTGCTGCCTAATTTCTTGTAAAGACGGGCTATAATCATATAGGGTCAAGAATATCTATTGTCATATAGGGACTGTAGCAATCCTGTAACGGCTCTTCTTAAAGATCACCATCTGACACTACGCCGCCTAAGTTTGATCACTGCTTTAGAAATATAGAACAGCGGACAATCAATACAGTGGGGCGCAAAAAGTTTGAATACACCTAGGTAACAAAACTCCATATTAGGTGTATTTGAACATTTTGCACCCCACTGAACGTTAGCTCGTCTGGTAGATAGTCGTGTGCACCGATCAATTGCATTACACTTTTACGAGGTAGTGGTGGGACCAGAATTTCCGTTGCAGGTTGGAGATACAAAACAGTTAATTACCAGGGTTGGGCATTTTGCTTCCGCATTGGGACAGTTACCCAGAACGGCATGGTCTACTCTTCGTATATCTATGCCCTTGACAAAACACATTGGATTTTCAGGATCAGGCCACGTAAACAGGCTGAACGGAGCCGGGAATCTCTTGCCGCGTTTGGAATTTGAGCCTCTACGTGCGCAACGGTGGATTATTTGCCTAGGCTTGTTCGCCTGCCTTGTCGACGTTGACTTCGCTGCTCTCATCCTTCGAGCAAATTTGGATCAGTAAAACCTGAGAACTACATAAGATGATAAGACGCCCCAGCAGCGGGAGAGTTGCAGGTTCTCGAAACTCCGTCAACTACCTGCGATATTACTCTCAATGGCGAGCCATGTCCGCGGTGGCAATCTGGCACCCTCAACAAACCCAACACCATACGTCTCTTCTCCGCGCTGCCGATCAATCAAAGACATTGATGTGGTGGTGGTAGGTGCAGGACTCAGTGGTTTGCAGGCTGCCACCGATGTGCAGAATGCTGGCTTTTCCTGCGTCGTGCTTGAAGCCAAAGACCGTGTAGGCGGCAAAACCCTCTCGACTACGGTCGAGCATGGTCCTGGCGTGCTGGATCTGGGAGCTGCTTGGATCAATGATCGAACACAATACAAGATGTACGCTCTTTTTAAGAAATTTGGACTCGACCCAATCATCCAGCGGATGGAAGGAGACGAAGTATTTCGCATGAGTGCCAAGGACCCTTCGTTCAGGACGCAATGGCCGGATTTGCCGGCTGTGGAGGAAGTGCAACGGGCGATGTTCGACAAGATTGCCAATGATATGGACGCGGATTGCAAGTCAATCGACCTACACGATTCCACTGCAAACAGCCACGTCAAAGACATTTCGCTCGGGGAGTACTTCCGTCAAAAAGGCGCAGATGGATTTGCCTTTGGATTTTGGACTGCTTGGATTCACGACTTGACCGGCACTGACCCTAACGACATTGGACTGGTCTACTGGCTAGATTATGTTAAGAGCGCCGGCGGGATTGAAAGTCTGTTGAGTGACGGGCCGAATGGTGCGCAGTATATGACGAACAGACACGGTATGCTCATATCTTTTGGTCAGCGAAAAAGATCATGTACAGAGGCTAACCATAGATGTGGCAGGAAACCAAACAGTCTCCAAGCGCTTGGCGGAGAATCTCAAACCAAGCAGCGTATATCTGAATTGTCCTGTCAATGGCATCGTGCAGACGACCACGGGAGCAATCATCGAAACCTTGTCCGGGGAAGCCTTTCGCGCTCGGAAAGTCCTAGTCTCCGTCCCAACACCTTTATACCGCCACATCAAGTTTTCGCCACCTCTACCGGCGGACAAGCAAGAGTACGCGGACTCCGTCCACCTTGGGCCGTACTGCAAATGTATCTTGATCTATTCAAGCCCCTGGTGGCGCGAGGCAGGCTTGAATGGTTCGTTCATCGATCTATCAGGCCCTGTAGTGTTCTCGCGTGACGTATCGTCAGATGCGGACGAGATGTATGCTATCTCGTGTCTCATCGGCGGCAGGTATGCTCATGAGTGGTCGCGGCTGCCCGTGTCCCGTCGGGTCAGCGCTGTCAAGGACCAGTTGGCAACTATGATAGGCCCCGAGCACGGAGAGAGGATCTACGACACGATCCAAACCATCGAAAAAGCCTGGGCCAAAGAGCCGTTCATTGAGGGAGTCCCGTGCCCGATGCCGGCCCCTGGTGGCATCTGGCCGCGGCTGGGGAACGCACTGCGAAGGCCGTTTGGGAATGTGCATTTTATAGGTACGGAGACCGCCATTGAATGGAAGGGGTATATGGAGGGTGCGGTTCGCGCTGGTGAGCGAGGCGCTATTGAAGTGGTTGCGGATCTCCGGGCTGCAGACGGGAGAAGGCAGCTGTGAGACGGAACGAATACATAGTATCAGGTTTGCGAGATCGCCACCACGTTAGCCGTCGCCGTCGTGGTGGCCAGCGCCAACGGCGCCATTTGTATCCGCGCATTGCCCAGTTCACTTTGTACGTTGTGGGCTTGACATCGTAGTTTGGTATCATTCGTTTTTTTGCGCGAAAGACGCTGACCACTCCTTGGAGGCAGACGCGATCGTACCAGAACACATCGAGGAAGAGATTCTGGCACATGACTTGGTGAAGCCGCGCATGGAGAATGATGGCTAAGGTCTATGGGGGCGCCTGAATGGACGATATCGTTTGTTTGCGCTGCGCCGCCATTGACAACAGAGGATCTTGGAAAATGAGCCGAATCTACCGTTTCAATCGTGCTAGAGCCTAAAGAGGTAATTGGCCAACATGGCTAAGAAGATAATATTAGGTATGATGTTTGGACCAGTTGAATAAGAGCATTAGAGCGGCGGGGTAGATTGATACACAGTTGCCCGCGCTATACCGATGTCGGTCTATTACTGTGATCTCGGAAGAGCTGCTTGCAACTGGCACAGTGGTCTATGTGGGCAACGACGGTGGTGCACATGATGCCCTGTCCCCAAGTATTTACAGGCAAGGAACCTCTCAGTCTCGAAGCCAAATCTAGTCCCCTCCAGTCGTAATGGGAATGATCGGAAAGGATGCCAATGTGTGTACAGCACCATGGCAGTAAGTCTATGAGCTGCTCGGTCCCAGAGTAGCGAGCTTTCCACAATTGGAACTTAACTTTTGATATTACTCCTTTCATCAAGATTCCGAGCGCGTAGGGTGAAGTACACACAGGCGGTGCTTTCGGGGCCAAAAATATTGAGATTATTGACCGTCACCTTCCTCATGAGGTAAGCCACTTTGGAGCCCAAGGCGACACGTGTATGTGATACGTTGGAAGAAGCCTGGACATCCCAAATGTCTGGATGGGGGTACCAGTGCATCCAGGATCAGATCAGTATAGAGAGGTCAGCCAAAGCAAATCCGCATCTGGAGCGAGTGCCGCGACTCAGCTGAGCCCTTTTTGTCCACTATTTGGCCCCACCACACATATTCAGGGCCATGGGCCTTTTGGGCTGTCCAGACTTCTTCGAGCAGTGGAATCATGGCGCCAAACATGTGGTATCGAGTTCGTTCATTCCACACAGAGCATAGCACTCTGATCTTATTCCGTGCGGAGAGGTCTGTCAATTCGCAACCTGCAAAGAAAAGGGGCAGTAGAGCCTGTCTGGCAACAAATTGGTCGTCGCGGCATGCACAAGCGTGATCCATGATGACTCTGGCGCGGTTGATTACCTGCATAGGAGGTGTGTCGCCCGGTTCCCACCGAAAGACACGGTAGATGTAGAGGAGAAGACCATTCCGCCATGCTTCGGAACAATGCATGCAATCCATGTCTTGATGCATACTCTCTTCATCGTCAAACGCGGTGTCGGACGGGGTATGACTCCAAGCTTCGAGCGACTGCTCGATCTCTGAGACGAGGCTGTTGTCGAACACAACCCAGCGCATCGACGCAGATTTCTGCTTTTCTGCTGCCGCGTGTGCTAATTGGACTAGCGAGACCACGAGACTTTGTGGACAGCCGCACAATCCGAAAAAAGTCCAGATTCGATCGTCGCAGCAAGCCAGAACGGACTCGAAATATTCGTACGGAAAGACACATGGCGTTCGGTTGACCAAGCTTATCACGGCATCCCACCTGGAGAATCGATCGTCAGCCGCAGTACGACAAGGATGTGCGGACGCTTAGAGTGTCCAACGCACCACGTGAGGAGAGCCACCTGAACCACAGTCCTAGGATTCTTGGTCCACGCTGCTGTGCCGCCACCAATTTCCAGAATGCTGTATGCGCCAGTCAAGTGCGCCGTCCAGCTTCCGAGGAGGGAATAGGCTTCCTGCCGTAACTGCGTTATTCTAGCCGCTGGGTGCGCAATAGGGCTACTTACATCCAACGAGAACAAGATCACAATAGTGTCGAGCAAGGAAGAGCTCATCTGAGCGACGCTGTCACTGTTGAGAGCCTGACGGAACAATTGAAGCGCGATTCGACCGTGATCAAGGATTGTTTCCGAAAGCTGATCTCCGCTACCACTCGAAGACGAATTGTCGATATGATGGCATGACAAAGCTAGCACGGAATGCAGCAGGTATCCAGACCTTTTCACGGCCGCCGTGCGGTAGCGGAACGGATTCAAGGGCAAGTCCAACGTCAATGGGATGACACAGAACTCGTTATTGTCTGGCTCTCGTCAACGTGGATTTAGTAGAACGGCAAGAAGCGCCAGATATACCCACATCGTTCGAATATAGGTTCCAGCCGCTGGAACTGTCCGTCGTACACAACGCTTGCGGGCATCGTGTGAAGGAAATGGGATGAAAATGCCTGTAGGTCTCTGTATGTGGAAGTAGATGGCCCCCCCGAGAACGGTAGACTCGGGACGCCATGAAAAATGTCAAGATTGTCTGAAATAACTGGGAGGATGGCCTGATAGCTCCAATGCTCCCCGGGCGGTGTCGCACAGTGGCTCTTTTCTTCAGCACTGTTGGAACGAGATTGCGACTCCGCGATTGCATCCATCTTGTTCGGATACCAGGGTGTCTGGTCCATATCGAAGAAGGTTGATTCATCGAGATTTGAAAGCTCTGGTTGGTCCGTGTCGCCTTGGTCTTTACGTGCTCCTTCTGCCGGGCCTGTCCAGCTTTCAATCAGCTTCAATCAGCATCAACCGGTCACCACCCACGACTATCCTCGGAAGGGGAGGAGAAAGGAGGGAGGAGACTGACTCGGACAGAGGAGGGCGGTTCTGGGCTTTGATGGCAAATAGAGCCTGGCGTTGCTGGCAGCCCGTGCTGGTGGGTGAGGAGATGTCGAGGTGAGAGCCGACTCATTATCTTCTGTCAATTCTGCCGGATGCTCGTTGATGAACTCGAACTGACGTGCAACCGACGAGTCTGCGGATGCGTGCCAACGTAACCTGCGCGTGATGGACTTCTTGACGGGCTTTCTGTGAGTAGAGAACCCTGGCTGCCAGGACAGCTGCATTGCAAACCCGCCACAGATCTTGCCTGACCTCTGGCAATTCTCGCAGCGGGGCCATGCTTTGTCGCATTTCTGCCGCCGTGCCACGCATGTATGACAGTCATTTCTGGCCAGTCTTGGTGGGCGACCTTTGCGAGATGTTGAAGGGCCATAATCCATCACGATGTCGAACAGCGCAGCAAGATGAGGTTGTCGCGGGCCCTGGAAGCGAAACCTCAGGCGCTTGGCAGCATGTGGCCTTGGCGGCGACCAGCGGCAATCAGGGTCAGAGTCATGCCTAGTGGCGGCTGCACAGAAGGACAGTTAGGGCGGGGCGACACGGGGCACGGGCACCGAATAGGCCATTACGACGAAACAGGGCTTGACCTGGCTGGGCTTGACTCTCGACAGGAAGCAGCAACTGGGTGACTACCAGGTAATTAATTTGCTTTAGCCTCAAAACTATCGACGTTGACTCGACCTTGGTCGAGCCAATATTGTGCAATCCCTTTCCATCACCGTCGTCGCCAATGGCCAAGGATGTCTCAAACAACGAAAGCTCTTCAAACGAATCAATTCGCTGAGTTCCCGTGTTGTCCAAAGCCCAGGACAACACAGTTGAGGTTTGACATTCAAGTCCGAACATGATTCTCACTCCCTCTTCACCAGTTTGTGGCCTTGTTCGTGGACGGACCCTTCAAGCTCAACCCCCGAAATTGTTGACATATGTTCGGAGTGTCGATGATGGAGAATCTCATGGTGAATTTGATTCTGTAGCTGAACGTTCACTTTGGGACCTTGATATACATGTCGTTGCCACAGGTACCAGGCTACAAGAATATAGGCAGTGATGGCAACGATCACCACGCTTTAGACACGTCAGAAGATCGAATCAACCAGGATTCCTTGGACGCGTCCGCCAGGCAACCAAAAGAGAGAATGCTACAGGACAAAGCCACACTCACCTCACCCAGTTCATGTTCGTAGTCGTGACCGGCCTCGTGATAGGGATGCAGGCTACCACGTCCAGAAAGAGACACCACACACATGCAACTATGTTGACGACGATGCCCCATTTCCCTAGGTTGAGATGCCTTTCGGGGAGAACTACGGCACGCCCTCTCCAGGCAAGGATTCCCTGAGGAATCACGTAGGATGTCATCATGAAGACGATATTGGCGCCCACCATAGATGCAAAGGCGGTTGATGATCCAAGAAAAATTAGGCCGTATAACTAAGATTTTGTCAGTGTCGTATCTAGACGTTAGTCGCCGGGATATACTCGCCATGGCGAAGACAGCGGAGAGAACAGCCGCATTCAGAGGCATCTGGAAGCGAGGGGATACTTGAGACCACCAACGAGAACCAGGAAAGGCATTGTCTCGCGATGCCGCCCAAATCTGACGACTGGAGCCGGCGATATTGGCAGTTGCACAGCCAAACATACACAATGCGAAGGCCGCCAGAAGCGCAATTGTCGCAGCCTTGCTTCCAGTGGCTTGATAGTAAATCTCGATCAAAGGGAGTCCGCTCGGCGGAGCGATGACTCTTTCCACATCGACAATGACAAACAGACAAGCAAGAGCAAACGGCCATGCTGGGAAGACGGTCAACCATCAAAAATGTCGGTCAGCATAAAGTAGACTTACTCGTGATTAACCCGATGAATACAGGCATGACCTTTGCTCATTAAGTGGTCAACGTATTTAAGGAAAATAAGAACCACTTACGATGACCTTGGGAACGTTGATCATAGGATTTGGTATCTCCTCCGCCAGGTGAGCGCCGGCATCAGTGCCCATAAACCCGTACGCATTGTTCAATAGGCATAATATAAAAAGGAGTCCTTTGTTGTCCCTACCGGTAGAATTGGTGGTGTCCCCAAACACCCAGGAGGCTTTCTGAAAGTTGGGAGCAGCGCAGGCAAGGATAGCAATAATAGTTGCGAGAAGTGATGCCAGTGAAAAGTAGACTGCAACAATCTCAACGGAGCCATCATTTGCTGGGTAGTCAGTCGTACTTACGAAAGAACTTAGAAAATAGCGGCACGAATCGACTACCAAATACATTGATTGCCACGGCCAGCCAGAGGACTGCCGTATAAAGAAGCCACTGATGCCATGGTTGAATGGTGTATTCTGGAATGGATATCTTCACCATAGCCAGGATCATTGCCGCGATAAAGTTGGCCACGCTGGCGTTCCCAAGCCACCAGCCAGCTGTACTGACACAGGCAGAACTAAGGGTGTATGAGTGAAGAAATTGACGAATCTGGGGCATAACTCACACAAAAGAAGCAAAGGGCGCCCACTCAGGGGCTGCGACGCGAAATGACCAGTAATACTGGGCTCCGGAATTTGGATAAGCAGAAGAGAGCTCTGTCATACCCAGTGACACGATCCAACTCATAGTAGCCGCAATGATGAGCGTCCAAAGTACTCCGGAGGCAGAAAATTCAACAAGGCCTGTGCCAATAGCGCTTCCAAAACCATTCCAGCTAGCTGTAAGAGCGAAAGAGAGCGAGAGGAGTGATAACAATGAAAATCGTCGCGGCATGGCGCGTTTGTAGCCCTGAGCTTCGAGCTCAAGGTCGTCTGTATTGTTTTCTCTGTGCATGGTGTTTGGTTTGTCCATGCCGTCTTCTGTTGTTATGTTGGACATGGAGGGAGATATGATAGTACGCCCGCATTGACCTGAAAATGTCCCTGTTTGAGGAACAAGGAAGTTTCACTGCGCGAGTTTCTACCCCAGAAATTGGGCTGGGGGACGATTAAGAACATTCTACAGAGAGCTTTTAGAAATGAAGATGCATGATGCCAAGTGGTAAATTAATGCTTTAGAAAATAATTGGGTGGCAGGCACCATTTCCCGAGAACTACCCAAATAGGCAACGAGCTAAAAAGGGCAAGTGTGTCAATGCGGTAAGTTAATAGTAGGATCTCAAAAGTCAAACGTTGATCTAGATTGCCATCGCCAGAAGGATGGCCAATCACATTGGGTTATTATTCCCAAGTAGCCGACGATCGAATAGTCGTCTCGATCGTCCTGCATAAAATTGCACGCCTTCAGAGTCCTATGTCGAACTTTGCGATCCCAATTTTTTCACTCTTCCCTTGACATGTCCACCACAACGACTTCCATGGTAGTTACTAGTAACCCGGGCATGGGTTTGAAGATATCTCAGAGGTTTCCTACTTTCAAAACCGAGCTTGATGAGGAAAATGCATTCGTGATATCGTCGGCCTGTATTCACAGCAGGTAAGTATATCAGACTGGGATGGACGAGAGCCTCTTGCGTTCCACATTCATCACGAGAGGATAATCTTCAACACGGAGATAATCAGTACACCTTGCCAATGGGTGCAAGCAGGGGGCAAAGTAACCGTTGCTACAAGAACAAATGGGTTATGCCATTAGCCAGTCTTTCTTAAGCTAGGTTGACTTTGAAAGATTGACCTTGCCTTTTTCTCACTGAATGGAAGACCTTCCCGGGAGATGATGAGCAAAGCTGAATAAACTTGTTAAGCTGGGTCAAGTTTTGCCAGTTAATAAGCGTGCTAATAAGCGTGCGTGGGCGTCCGTTATAAAACGCCCTCGCCGTTCTATAAGAAAAGCCTGTGCACTAACAGAACAATTACCGAACAGGTGTCGAGGCTCCACCCAAATTGTATGAGCCTTACCTTCTGTGGGATCAGTAAATGGTCCTCACTATCAGAGAATGAGAGGTTGAAGCGTTGTTCCTTGTCTTTTCGAAGGGCGAAGTAGGCTACCTATATAGCCTGAAAATAACGGGGTTGGGCATGCTTTTCCAGCCACCTCAGACACTCACTAGTGCTCTGTTCCAACCTCGAAGTTTTGCCCCATCTGGATTGTGTCAGGTTGTCGTTTTGTTCCTACTCGCAGGTTTTCCCCAATTTGTTGCCAGATCTGATCTTGGTTTTTTGACGTTGAGCCATCCCTGCAACAATGTCTGAGTCTTTTATGCCCTTTATTCTCCTCTCTTTTTTTCTATCGGCGAGTTCCAAAATTTCATATGTCCTGGTCGTTGCGTTTCCTCAAGTCATTACCTTGCCGTCGCCTCGGAGTGACGATGTCCCTCGACCGTTTGCAAACAGCATCGCCCTCGGGCTTTTTCGAAAGAACAGATCGGAATCAATAGTCGGTCACAAGCCAATCCTCGAAGCAAAAGTCCGTCCAGAGGGCCTGGAAGATGCGAAGTCTCCCAATACGCTTTGTGAAGATATGCAGTATTCTCGCAATAATCATTTACCTTTCTCGATTGCTCACAAGAGAGAACGCTTCGAGCTACTCTGCGGGATTCAATGCGGGCCATATTCCTGCAAAGGCAACTACAACACAATGTACCAAGCCTCACGACGCTACAAAGCCTTTAGATCAGTACACGGTTATGATCGACGCAGGAGGTACAGGGAGTCGTGTTCACGTCTACAAATTCAATAACCGCGGACCAACACCGGAGCTAGAAAACGAAGACTTGAAAATCACTAAGAAGCTAGGAAGGTCTAGTTTAGGCTCTTATACAGACGCAGAGGAAACTGCGGAAAGACTCGATCCGCTTATACAGTCTGCTCAATCTTCCGTACCAGAAGATCTTCTATCATGCAAAGATGTTGTCCGGACTCTTCTACGAGAATGGAGGATTGGTTTGAATGTCTTCATGAAGAACCGGGTTTTCGCGGATCATATCGAGGCAATTCGAGGCAATTCGAGGCAATTCCGAGGCAATTCCGTAAGCTCGAAGGGTGTTGAGTGTTTCATTTAAGCTACATATGAATATGAGAGTTGTCGAGCTGTACATATCCACCAAAGATGAAGGCATCCTACTCTATGAACCCGATAGAAGATTCGTTCATTGTTGGCAATGAGAGCGAAGCCGTTATGATCATATCCGACATAATGACTTATGTCTCCATCAAGAGGAAACGGAGATGGCCCGACTCAGGGTAACAAAATCCACAACTGAGAACAACAGAAGTACAATTAGAAAATGGTCGTCGGCATAGTCAGAGTGCAAGCTCAAATTTGTCCGCGCTGTGGTATGTGGTGCATCTCATAAAACCGAGCACCTGAGAATTCACCTTTCATCTCGTCGTCGCTTGCGATTCGTTGGTCTTGCAATGACTTCAATGCTGCTGTCAGTGTCTGACGAAGAACTAGCTCGTCTTTCCATGTCATCTTCTGTATCCTCGATGAATGTGACTAGTTGCGGATCGGCGTAATACTGGACAGTGGAAAGTGGGATCGATGCAGAGGAGTCGACTGGAAGATCTTTCCTTACTCGCTCTTCGAGGAGAGCCAGTTCCCCCCTGAACTCAAACAACTGGTTCTGAGGCGACAGAATAGTTTGAAAGGCAACAATAAGGTAATGTAGAGTCTGACTGAAGCCATATGACTCACTGACTTGTTTGATGCCGTCCATGGTGTCGGAAAAGGTATACGGCCACTTGACGCTGGGGTATGCGAGGACTTTGCATTTCTGTTGAATCCAGTCTGGAGCATTGTCGGGACCAATGTTTGTGTCCATTGACTGAATCAACTGATATTGCGTCGAGACATGTTCCAAAATCTCGAGGCTATGTCGTAACTCCTCAGTTCCTCCACACTTTGTATCACGGAAATTACACTCTCGCAGCCTGACATTGAAGAATGTGCGCAGTGTGCCCCGAAAGACTCCCAGCTTCTCGAACGGGTCCGTTATTTCATTGTCACTAGGTGAAGGAGTATCAAAGACGAAAAGACAGTACCAGGCCAGGTCATGTTTTTCGCCATCCTTGGTTTCAGCACCAATTCCCTTCACAAGCACAGCATTGGATTTCCCAAGCATTTTCCGGGTTCTTCTCGACCGAGTCATTCGTCTAGAGCAAGTCACTTCCGTTTCGTGCTTAACGGACTGTTGGGAAACGCGCAGAAAGCTCTCAGACGGTTCGGCCATTCCAATCTTCAAGAGCTTGTATATTCTCTTAAGCAATTCTGCTGGACTCGCACTGCCTGAATATTGAGGTGTTGTCAAGATCGGAGTAAAGTAGCGGACCAATCCATGCCGGGTTGGGCATGCTGGGAAACTGTATAGATCGCCCTGTGACCTCGGTCGAGATCCAGAAGACAGCCGAGATCTGGCAATGGCAGCTGCGAAGCACTGTCGAACCGATGAAAATCGCACACTTTTGAATAGATCCACAACGCATTCCGTAGGTATCATGGGGCAATCTGCGATGTCTAGATGTAGAGAGCGAGGATTAAACTTTGTTCTCTCTCTTAGAGCTTGCAACGCGTCCTGGGCTATTGCAACGTATGTCAGGGTGTGAACCTGATTCCACAGGTCAAGTCTGACCATTCCACGGTTACCGCCGTCCGTGAAGTAAGAGTCCACTGCAAAGGATGCCAGAAATCGCTGTTCCGGGTTCTGGAAAGTATGTGATTCTCGATCCTGGCCCGTCCACAGCTTTTCAACAGCGTTGAGACAGTCTGCAGTGACAGACCATGTCCCTTGACCGCGTACCGACCTCCATAGTTGCCTCGCAAGTTGTTTTGCCTTTTCTGTGGTGTCCATTTTGCTTAGGAACTGGTCGAGGTTTTCCAAAGTAACGTGGAGAGCCCACACTTTGTATGTCATATATCTAGCATCACGAAACGCAAGATTTTCGTGGTCGAAGAATCTTAGCAAGTGAGGGACGGCGAAAGGCTCAATCTGTTCGATGTCGTTACCTATAGTAGGTTCATCGATATCGACATCGACAAAGGGAGGAAAATCGTTGTGTAAGCTGCCGACATCGGTATCTGCAACCAGACTGTGCGAGGCATTCGTGGCTAAAGACAGTAAGCCACTGATGATGTCTCTGCGATATACATCGCGCGCCCAGTCGAATATGTAATCAATGATCAAAAGTAATTGAAGCGCATGTTTTTCATAGTTGATGTTTCCCTCCCACAATTGCAGTATGCGCTGAATGTGGTTAATCCCCAGTCCAATGGTTTGAGGGGCAACTCACGTAGTTTGGTTCAGAATCTTTGTTCGTTTCTTCCACGTAGGCACCTGAAAGGCGCCATACCTCTCCTCTATACGCCAAGTACCAAACAAGGGGCTTCATCCCGGATTGTCGGTTTTCAATTGTAGCGTGCTCAAGATTGCGCTGGAGCTGAAGCAAATTACGAAGACCAAATCCGGACTGTGAGTCTATCTTAGAGAACCCATCTGAACTTTTTTCCGACTTAGCCTCTAGAAGGAGGAAAGGAAATAGAAGTGGTCTGCTGTCGTCTCTAATCGGGGTCGTTCTGATCGATTCCCCGACCAGGTTACCATCTGGACCTTCGGTTTCTTTCAGAATCCTGTCCAATCTTGTCGTGACTCTGAGCCCTATCAAACGATCGGGCTTTATCCCTTTCTGGAGGATCTTCTGGATTTTCTCCTCGTATTGAATCACCTCATCAGCTCGATCGTCAAAAAGAAGATTCAGTCCTTCGTCAAATCTGAACTACGGTTAGGGTATCCGTTTGAGAGTTCAGTTTGGGTGGGCACTTACTTGTCTTCGCCTCGTTTGCGCGGCGGGCAGTGGCATGGTGTCCGATTTTCCCTCCTGGTCGCCAAATTTTCTAAGATGCCGTTGGTTGTAGTCACAGCGACTTCCACTTCTGATCTCCAGAGCCGGGCGCAACATTGAGGACGGGACACGCAGTTAGCATTGCGCGCACCCTTCACGTGACCTTCCTCCTTACCAAGCAACCTCGATGCTGAATCGGGCGAGGATATCCGACTCAATATTCAGACGCCAGCTAAGCTCGTTTTTATTCTCGTCGAGACATCGTCGAGCCTTCGCACTGATGACGTAGGCGCGTCTGAGGATGTTCTGTCTCCAGGGTTTTTGTCTGGATTCGATATTAATACTTGAACGGTATTGATCGAGACTGTAGTCTCCGAGCGCCCTGATATCCTCAAAATAAGCTTCAGGGCCGGGAGCTTGAGGCTCGTTGAGATCGAAGAATATATTATATTTTCTCAAAAGTTTACGCTTTTCTGTTTCTTCGGTAGCGTTCGCCATTACTGCTGGAATGAATAAAGAAGGCCGGGGATTCGAAAGTTTGGTTAGAGGATAATTCATTTTCTCATCGTTCCAGTTCACGCCTGAAACGTTCCTACTAATACTACCGAGTAGTTGATACGAATCTAGCTAGTCAGGGGTGCTGGCTCAAATTGCGGCGACCCCTGCATATCCCTCAAAGCCCTGTTGAGCCCTGCAAGGTCCCGACCAAAAAAGTGAGACACTTTTTCTTGGCGCGTCTACACGCGTTGACAAACCCCCTATTAATTTACTAGCGACACGGTCAAATAAACAGCTCTCAGGAAACTAACTGTCCTCTTCAATTACTAGGCTATTATGGATTATAAAGCATATACTCACTGGAGTACTCCGCAGCGACAGAGAATATAAACTAGATCTCAAGATGCTAGACTCGGATTTCTCGCTAGTCCAGGAGGCCACCGAGGTCACTCAACGGCGCCGTTTTATGAACATGAACGTGTGCCTATTGCAACTGGCTTTCGAACATCACATAGCGATGACTCTCGACGACTCAAAAACAGTACGACTCGGTCTAAAACACGTGGGCGCAAGAAACAATTAACTGAACGAGATATTCGAATCGCTGAACTCGTTCTCTGGTAGAATTACTTCGATGGTCGCGAATTACCCTGGCAAGATCTAGCGCTTGAAGCTGGCCTAGCTATCTCTGGTAGAACGCTGCAACGATATCTAAATCAGAAGCGACATCGACGCTGTAAGACTTGGGAACGCATCTTATTAGCGCCATCGCTGGCTCGTCAACGAGTCGCTTTTGCACGGCGAATGCTAGCACTCCGTCCACGGCCTGAGAATTGGCGAAATATCTTATTCAGTGACGAAGTTCACTGAGGTTATGGTCCGCAAGGTCAGACCTAGGTTCCTCGACGTCCAGAAGAGTCTCAATGCTCTTTTTGTGTCCGTCAGAAAAAGAAGCCTCGGAAGGAGGACGAAAAGCGTGTTCACGCCTGGGCTGTGATCGGTTTCAACTATAAATGTCAATTATATCGCTACCAGACGTCCAATTGTAACGGCAAGATGGCACAAGGCGTTTATATTCAGTTACTGGAACAAGAGCATCGCAATTGGCCATCGAACGCCATCCTGGAAGAGGACAATGACAGCGGACACGGCCCTAGTCAATCTAACCCTATTCGAACCTGGAAATTTCAAGCACAACATCGATTACTACTTCAACTGTGCCTATTCGCCTGATCTATCACTAATTGAGAATGTCTGGCGAGCGCCTAAAGAGAATCTCAAAAAGTTTGCTCACTGGGACGAGGACACAGTGTGGAAGGTTGCGCTAGAGGGCTGGAATAGACTGACTCAGAAAACCATTAATAAATGGGTGGAGGAAATGCCTAGGCGGCTTCAAAGTGTGATCGATCTGGAAGGCCAGATGACAACCTACTAGATATTTCTATTTCCTGGCCATAGCTCTATATTTCTAGTCACAGTAGTAATTTCTAGGGGAAGTAGATGTGGTTGGGGGTTGCCAAGAAATGAAAGTGTCTCACTTGTTTTGTTGGATCATTCGCCACGTGCACAGCTGGATGGGAAGGTGCACCGAGGCACGGCTTGGCAAGTCACGGCTTGTCTCAGTCCTCAGACCTGATATCGGGGCTACGCCCTGATTGGCTAGGCTATGAGCTAAAGCGCCGGCCAATCACAAAATTCAAAGAATGTTCTTCTCGCGAAGGCGTTTTGCTCCGCAAAACAGTGGGCCCCGCCCACTTATGGCAACTGAGCAGATGGGTCTGAGAACCGAGACAAGTCACGGCTACTTAGCTCGTCTACTCACTCTGCCCCTCCTCTGTTTTCTCTCCAGAGACAGCCCACTAACCAAATAGATACGAGATACCTAGCCAACACTCAGTGCTATTACAAACCAACCCACCATTACGGTGCTTCTCTCTTATTCCTCTTCCTTCTCCTGGTCCTTGCGATACGACATCCTTCTTGGCGCCGAGAAGATTAGTGACAAAGATTGCCGTCCGAAACTACGAGGTACTCTAGATAGTGTAAGGATTCAAGAATGATAACAGCACGCTTATTAACAACATCTGTCTTTTATGTGTGTAAATTTTATTAAACTCATTTTATGGCCTGAATGCCGAAAACCCGGTTCAACCGCCTTGTGGCGACGCACAAGCCAAGGATAAAATATGCGGCTAAAGCTGGGTACTGTATCTAAGGCTGTGCGAAGTTCCTAGTTCGAAGGCAGGGCCAGAACGACATCAACGCCTCGTGGCTTGTCTGGCAACCATAGGCACGACCTTCGAAGTCATTGCTGACCAGTAAGGTGGTCTGAGGAGACGGGGGAAGCCGCAGGAACCATTGTCGGCCCGCTGTCAAAGAGAAATTCTAAGAACAGGCCAAATCCTCAGTCCAGATTCCGGACAGAAGATGGGTGGACATGACAAAGATCCTATGGACACGAGGCCCTAAGATGTTCACACGCGGACTGGAGGTGCGACTACCGCTCATCGAAGCTCTATGCCTCCGCTGTTGAATCTCCTTTCTGAATCTGACGTCCGGGATCAGATCAAAGTTCATCTCGGTCATCTGTACCAAGTCTACAGCTTGAGTCCGTCGGCATTACCTTGAAAAGATCTCGTGATACACGCGGGGGATGTTGAAGGGCAAGGACGCATGAAAACGCTGAAAGTCACGATTCGCAGATCTGACAGGTCGATGCCGAGAGAATAGAGCTCAATGCATTTGTCTTGATTGAAGATTCCTCTGCAAGGGGTGGCAAGGGGTCAGATGCAGAAGATGATTTTCTCGGGGAGGATGGCTCCATCCTGTGCCCAGTCAACTGGAAGCCATCCTTGATCCTCTACGTCGCTCCTTGCACCCGGCCCTTCACGCCGACCTGCACTATCTGCTCGGGATCTCATCAATGTCTCATGGCATTTCCTCGCAGTCTACGATGGTAGTATTTGACCACATCTGTCTGGCGAGTTCACATCAAGATCCGCTCTGTCGATCAGCAGTTCACCTGATGGTTTATACCCCAGTCTTGCCGCCCCTGGTAATGGAGTCTGTCCGTAGGTCACCCCGTGTGGTTGGGTGGATGGCCTACATGGTTTCTTCGGTCGGAATGGGGGGGTGGGGGGTTGGTATGCGGCAGCGCGGGGCAGTGTCGCCCGAACCTCGAGCCGTGAACGCGTACCCCCATTGCAGCTAGCACCAAAGTCGTCAACGTGCAGGTAGTCTCACAGCACGGGCAAGGTCTCGAGGGGCACCGGGCTCAACTTCCTACTTTGATAGCGGAACTAGCATGGCGAAAGTCCAGCAATCGCACATCTACCGGTCGACGCTGCCTAAAGGAAAGTATTCGGCGCATCTTCATTACGAGACCGACGAATCGAAGTCAGGCTGTATTGGACCCCTAGCCAGAGCGTACCAACGCGAGGTGCGACCCTCTGTCGCTCTCGATGAACCGACGAAGTGGGGGCGGTTAGTTCGTCGAAACACCCCCATTGGCGCTGAACACCACAACACACACACCACATAACGGTACAGGTTGACCGCCACGGAGATATATCCACTGGACCTGACACATCGCAGTCACGACTCCGCCAGGTCTAGCGTCTGTGTCGCAAACCGATTCCAAAGTTGGTGGGCATCATGTAATTCGCATCCTGCGGCCCTTGGAAAACTGGGGGGATTTCCCTTTTGCTTACGTCTCGAAATATGTCCGATTTCCGCGGTACCTCGATCCGTCCGGCATTGACTCTCGCTAGCCAACTAGCCAGTACGCAACTCCGCCTTTTCAGCTCGTATCGAGGAAAATCGACCAGGGCCATGTTGGACTAGAAATCGAGTTTCCTTCCGCGGAGGCTGCTCGAGTCACAAGACGGCTTCAACAACTGAAGGGTCACAAGGAGAGGGATGGAGGGGGGAAGAATTTGGAATTGAGAGTATCTGGTGGGGGAGTGTGTAATCAGTACGTTTTTGATGGCTCCATTACATCCGCGGACGTCTGAGAACCGTTTGTACCAGACAACATCTCCTCCTTGCCGCCTATACAAGCTTGTGACCTGAGGTAATTGATCGGGGGGTGAGTACGTAGCGGAAATCAGTTGGAGCCTTGCAACAATTTTCCCCACTCCTGGCGCTTGACCGACAGCAAGAGGCCGAGCAAAGCGATATACTGTAGAAATAGAAGAGGGCCAAAGTCTGCAGAAGCCGCAGAGTGGATTGTCATCAGGATCCCGTTGATCGAGAAATTGGGTAGGAGATACACCCTTTCCTTTCGCCAAGTATCGAGATACATAGACTTCCAAAATGTTTGATGTCTTTGCAAGACGTTACTAGTAACTCGTCGTTCGTAGAATTCGATATCAATCAAGGCCTCCGTTTAAAACACGTCGAAAATTTCCGTAGATGCTACCATATACACAGGCCATGAGATTACTACTCCGCTTTGCAATCATTTCGCGGGTTTTGTGTGTTGTCAGATAAAAAAAAAAAAATGTGAGCTGAGATGCTGGACTCGTCCTCCTTGGGCTCTGCTTCGACCAAAAATAGTTGACTACGTTGTTCTCTTGGCGCGAGAGTGGTTTTACCTTCCTCGTTATGGCAAGTAGTATTGATATGCAATGGCGACCTATGCAATATACGGAGGGCAATCTGTTTCGAGAAGTCTTCTGAGCATCTGACGGTTGTCTGCGCTGTAGAGTATCTGAACGGGTAAAGCAAGTCGGAAGGTGCAGCGGTATGGTGCGGCGATGCGGATGTGTAGATCGACTTTGTATCGGCGAGAAACCAAGGAGGACTCGAAACTTGGAATTGGATACCTCAGTGGCGCAAATCTGAGAGTCAACTGAGCTTCTCCTTTCCATTGTGTTGTCATTTCCGAGGTGCCGTTTTCTCCTATGCCACTTATTAGATGGATGAAGGCCAAGTTCTGCTGCTGCGTACACCCACCGCGTAATGTATAAGGAACTTTGCTCCATTTTGAGAACTGTACCACAGCTTTGACCCTATCGCAAACTCCGTAATTGCGACATAGTGTCCTCGAAGATGAAAGATCTCTCAGTGTCGGAACACTCTCACGCGGATCATTGGATATAAAAGTCGAGAAGATCAAAGATCCAGTGCAACGACCGTTGACCTTATCCCTGGGCTCTTCTCGCAAGCTCCTCGTCGAACCAGGCATCTCCATCAAGCATAAAGAAGTTGAAAAGACGAGACCATCGGTGAGCTGACCTAAAACAAGAGGGGCAGGTTGATCGGCTTCGATCTGTAAACCTCCTGTGCGACAAACACCCGGAAACCATAGTCGTGGACCTTTGGACCTGGCCAAAGAGTACTCGTCGGGAAAATCAGCAACACAAACGGGCGGCGGGACATCCAGGGTAGGGATGATCTTGATAGAACGGGTGCAGCTGCGCAAAACATTGTCTTGGCTGAGAGCCTGTACACAGAGGGTGTAAGAAACATTACATTCCCCCTGACAACGCGGCTGCAGCACTGGATGCCTTTTTCCTGTCTCGAAACGAGGGAGAGAAGCCGGCAGATCTCGAAGGAATCCAAGATTCTGCCCTAAAAGTTCAGATTGCAGGTTCTTGGGTATGTCGAAATGGAAGAAACATTTTGGTGTGCTCTTTCTTTGCTCCTCAGTCCCGATGAAATCTGTGGCTCTCTTGACATCGTCTAGCTGCAAGAGCTGTGACCGAGATCAGCACCCGAAGGCGAGGCAATTTCATAAATGTGCCAACTGTACTTTTTGTGCCCTCTGAAGGAGGGTGTCGGAATACCAGTCCAAGCAACGGATGGTATTGACCAAGACACCTGGTTCTGTAAGTAGCTCAATGCATTCTGAAGGAGCTTAACGAACCCTCCAGTGAGATTTTGAAAGTTTCGAATCCGACATCTGTCGGCCCCGTCACAGAGATATAGCCATCAATCCCTGCATCACCCAGAAAGTAGGGATCTTTGCTTGCATTAATGGTGAGCCCGTTGAGAAATGTCACTTCCATCGATAAGGTGAGGCCAGACCGTAGCATTTGTTCCCCAAAGAGTTGTGAGATTGTCAAGAATGTTTCGGGCAAGCATAGACATGGACTTCTCCGGTCCATTTGGACCGTTCATATGGTCCCCGGAAAGGATGGCTGGAGCTCTGTGCATCGAACTATCTAGGCGTATTCCGCCTTGGAAGCTGCCAGGAAACAGGCTCCCCGCGCGCCTTGATTCGAGCCAGTAGACTTCCTGGAAGAAACTCGCCGCACATCCTCTTCCGAAACCCTAGAGTTCCTACTTTGAGTTCGATCTAAGGTGACCATGACATATGCGGGGAAGAGACTACAGAGCTAACAAGCCAGTATCTGCATGGCACCTTTGCGCGGAACAAACGGGAAGTGGTCATTTTTGGAGTGGAGTTGTCCACAGGCCCTGTGTGGGCATGGCATCAGGCCGCGGTTCGCATCTTCCATTATTGCACCATCATCTCAAGTCGCCTGGTTTACATTTGTCTTTGTCTCAAGAGTCAGCTGGACCTTGGCACATAAAAATAACGCACCCGAAACAGTATTCCCCGGATGCAGCAAATGCTTTGTTCCCAGCGATATCTGAGCGCTCCCTCATTGTTTTGTTGAAGTCGAACTACTAGAGTTCCACTAAGACGAACGTGCGACCATCTTCGACGGATAACTGGTCTGGTCAGTCAGCTTGGGGAGAATTTCAATATTTGTAGCTGCTCATATGCCTTTCGCGGTGGCTGTCCACCGTATCTTCCATTATTCCTAGTCTCACTTCCTCTTTCTGCTCTTCACTTCGTCATACTGGAAAGTTATCCGCCGCTCACTCACAGCAACGGAAACCGGTGTCCATTCTATTAACCTAAACGTCTCCTTCAGGTTGACATCTCCTCTGCCATGGTGCCCCAGCTTCGCCGAAACCCTGCTCGTCAGCAACGTCACTATCTCGCATCGTTGGGTTTCGTCCAACTTGCCCCGTGAACGGCTCTATGGAGGGGCGCCCTGGAAAGTTGTCCAAGGAAACCTCCCCCCCAGCCACTGTTTTCGACTCTGCTGAGGTCGAACGCGGGCCAAGTGGCCGGATTAAGAGAGGGACCGGAGCCGATCGTGAAATCAACTTCCTCCGCGGCTGCGCTCTCATCTACCGGAAACGCAGCTGTGGAATCGGAAAAAAATAGCTGTTTCTGTTCCTGAGGAGAGTAGGGCGTTTGGGGATTCGCACTCGAAGGATGTGGAAAGCTGATTCGAGGAGCAGTGGGCATAGGAGAATCCATGTAAGAGGGTGGGTGTAGCTGAGCGGCCTCGAAGCTAAAGTCTCTTGCAGGCGTGAAACTGCTTCCAGGAGTAGTTGCGCCAGCGTCGTGTGGATAAAAATTTGAGCTTGACGAGCATTCCTCGTGCCTAGAAGCTCCTGGGTAATATACTGAGTTTAGTTGGCCCATCCCGGTGAAGCCTGTAAGCTCTGGTCTTGGATGATAGTCGTGGACAACGTTCTCTGTCACCCCTTCTGGGCCTGTACACATAGTCACCGGCTCTGCAGCTTCACTCATTCTTCCTCTGGCTTCTCCATTCTCGCATAGTTTCTTACCAAGGACCTCGAATAGCACCTACAGCGATTATAGTCATTAGAAAATGTGTCTATGAGGGTGTCGTATATTCTTACCTCCAGCGCTTTGCTGCATCTTGCGGCCGCTATGCTTCGTTGGCCCAACTCGGATAGAATATCTCGACCGATTTCAGCATCTCTGAGAACCCCAGAAACGCCTTCGTCTCGGGCCCGTTCCCAGGCGTAGGAGATCAACGAGGTAACGGCGAAGAACGTAGAATATATTGTAAACCAGTAAGGTCCATTAAGCATATCCACTTTCTTCATGTTTTTCATACCAATGATCACGTCGTGACTGGCATATAAGCATGCCATTGCATAGGTATAGGCTCGTACATCCGACTGATTTCTCATCGTATGATGAGAGAAGTTCAGCAAAAAGGGCCGGTAGAGGATCAGTCGCGCGTGTGCGTATGCGATGGACAGAAGCTCTCTTTGAATCCTAAACCAATGCATCTTGTACTTTAGCACTGGCCAGTAACCAGAGGACAATATCGTAGGACTCTTGAACTTATGCGCTTACCTAAGAGGCTTTAGAATTCTGTTGTTGTCATTCGAGAGCTCCCATGGTAGGTTTACCCACCACAGTTTTAGCTCGTGCTCAACCTCACACACTCTTCTGTAGCTCACTCGGTATTCACCGGGTCGGTTGGCACCGTTGGCTAGGCCAACACTCCCATGACGCACAGGGTATACGTATCTCAAGATCTTAGCGAAGATCTGAACGAGCCTAGTATGTGCGTTTACAGCTGTCATTGCCGGCAGTTGCTGCACCTGGCAAGCCATGATTCCATACGGTGCAATGCACATGTCGTCCACTTCTTGAGGCATCTCTTGGTCGATGTCTTCTTCGTTGATCGCCGGAGGCAAGCCTAGAATTGCACAGATATATGTCTCCATATTTCGCACAGCCCAGAAGACACGTTTACGAGTTTCCTGCTCCACTGGATCGAGAACACTTGATAAAGACCGGTGCAGGCCTATTTGTAGCGACGCGGCTACCGCGGCGGCGATGTATGAATGACACACAGACATCTTTCCTGAACAGTGTAAGATATATGTCACGCACAACAGTGCTTGAAGAGAGATGAGCTCGCGACAGTCAGAGATGTCAATAAGACTCCTGGCGGCCGCCAAATATTTTGTTCTTCATCGGTAAGCAGCAGCCCCAATACTGATCTCGCTCGAGGAACATACCCTTCATGAATTGCAATTGTAGAACTCAAATCAACAGATTTGCTTCTCAGAAAGAGGCAACCTAAGCCCAGCACTGAGTACACCAACGCACGAGGCCTGGCGTCTTGGATGCCGTAGTTCTCGGGTTCTGTCTCGTACACCCAGTCAAATAGTTGACTGAATGTGGGTCGGTGGATGAACGAAAGGACCGCACACCCGTGACCAAGAGCGCAATCGACAAGTTTCTGTGCCGTTCCCTTCGGCGGCAATAGTAGAGCGATTCCTGGTCCAGGAGGTGGAGATGGACTTTTGGGAGACCACGGAACGCTCTGGAGGGGAGTGAACACCGCACCAACTTCAGCGTTTCTGACACCTTGTTCCACAAAACGTTCTCCAAGACCTTGAAGAAAGACTGGACCTGATGAATGACCATGGTAGCGCCATCTACCTCCATCATCGAGGCAGAGCCGGCCAGTGGCTGTAAGAATTGTCTCCAGAGAATCTTCATCGTCTTGATTGGCTCTTCGAGCTGGATGTTCTGAGAAGGACAGTCCTGTATCGCCTGATCCGACTGAGCCAGAATTCCCACCAGCCAGAAGCTCCTTTCTTAGGGTAACATGGATATTTGGATCGTCTAGATCATGATCAGGGAAAAGGAATTGTAAAAGGTGCTCTAGCCTCCGAGACTTGATTTGAAGTTCCTCATGGTGGGTTCGTCCAGGTATTCTCCATCTGTTCGACGAGTATTCATACGTACACTCTATCAGTTTTGTTCAGTGAGTAAAGTTCGCCTTGTGACAGATCCTAGATGGCGCATACCAAGGCCGTCCACAGTACATAGGGAACATGGTTGGTCGCCATTGCATTTTGATTTCCTCCGCCGACACTTGTCGCATGCCCGTGTAACCCGAGTTCTCTTCGTGATATTCATGGGGGGAAACACCGCTTCAGCTGCTGATGTAGCACAGTAATGATCCCTTGCACGTTGGCAGGACGCTCATATATCTGCGATAGCCGCAGAAGCTCCTCAAGTAGTTCCTTTGGACAATCAGAAGGGAGATTGATGAGGGATTGGCAGGCTCCCGACCCCGCAACTTTGCCAATATTCTTACCTAAAGGATAGTTCTGCTGAAAGGCCCAGCCACTGATGACACCACACTGGTAACCGCCGATTCATCTGCTCCAGTGCTCATGAGAATTGTACAGTGACTAGGCATAGTCGTCATCGATAGGTGTTGCTTGAGATCCCAAAAATTCTTGCCAACTCCCACACTTAGGTTTGTTTTTATTTCTGGGGCAAGTGGTAATGAAACAAGTTGGCGGGATATTCGCCCGTGGAAGTGCCAGAACCGCCAAGGCGCGAGAGAACTTTGGAATGAGGAACTACAAAGGACGGTGAGAGTCAAAATCTGGTTTGCTTGATGTCTCTTCAGCCTTATTGGCCCCTACAGATCATACCGCCATTCTCGCCGATTCCATCTTGCGTTGGAGAAGCGCCTGTGACATTCCACAGCTCGTTACCTACGCACGGCTTACACCAGAATATGCCCTTGGGATCGTATTGCTTCTTTAGAGCCAAGAGTCGCGGGTAGTTGGAGCCCCAGAAGGTGGTTTGCCAATTGGGCTCAGTTGGGTCAGCTTCGTTGACATATGCACCAGTATACGGATCGAGGACGCGCAAGGCTTCGATAGCGCTGTTGCGTAGTTCGTTCGTTACAGAGGTCTTTTGGGTTTGGTTCAAGGGCGTCCAATTTCGGTAGGTAACTTTAGGGGAAGACGGACTGTGGTCAGTACGAAGCGCCCGGGTCGTACAAGGAGATTATGTACTTACCGAAATGAATATAGGTATTGTTTCGCCACGCGGGACATACTGAGTTGTTTCCACCTGGGATTTTAGCATTTCGAACACCTTGGCCGGCAACAAGATGGTTAAGTAGTGTCCAGGTGCCATTTGAGGCCACGCGTAGAGCATTATTCAGTGACGTTTGGTTGCCCGTAAGAGCGCCACGGGTCAGAAGACGTGAACCCAAACGCTCTGATGGTCCAACAGCCTCAGGCTGGTTAGTCATCCAGAATTTGGTGAAATCCGAGATTGGAATGGTGTAATTTGAAACAAAGACCTCGTCACCCCAATTTGTAGTGTTGATCTTGGTAATAACCGGGTCCATGATAATGGTTGCCTGTGCTGGTGTTTTGTTTGGGAAGAAGTATCCACCGAAAATCATGCCGGCTTGATTGGGAGGATTTGAAGCATAATATGGTATGAAATAGTGATAGCCGTTGGCTCCTTTGTCGGATAATTTGGGCACTTGCGACGTAAAATAAGTAGAAATCGACCAAAAAGTGTCGCTGTTGCTGGTTGTGTTGAACCAAAATATCGTAAGGCTACCAGGAAGCGTCGGATATACCTTCATGGTAACGCTGATGAGAACACCGAAAGTCGAGCCTCCTCCCTGTGACTTTGGTCAGAATTCTCTGCGGGATATTTCAAAGCCATGCTTACCCCTCGCATAGCCCAGAACAAATCAGGATGTGACTTTTCGTTGACGGTGAGAAATTTGCCGTCTGGAGTGACAACTTCTATTTCAAGAACTTGATCGGCTCCGAGTCCATATGTAGAGCTTATTGGGGAATGGCCACCTCCAAGGACCCATCCGCCGATACCAACTGACATATCACCGCCTGCAATAACTGTAAGGTTGTGTTTTGCTACTGCTTGGTAAACTTCGAACATCCTTGATCCAGCAGCAATCTTGACTGAGCCAACTCCACCATAAGGCAGAGCTCGGGTATCACTGGTGTTCACTGAGATACCCACAATTTTGTGGGTCCAGATAGACAAAGACTGTCCACCAGAGGACCTACCGGGTATATCAATCAGTATCATGATATTGGGAAAACTCTGCCATTCTCACCTGGACAGGAGATCGTGACCAGTTCCTTTGACTATCAATCGCACTCCTGTGTTTGAGGCAAATTTCACTGCTGCCTGTACATCAGAGGCGTTGGTGGCGTGTATAACATATGACGGGTAAGCAGCCGCCGAACAAGGTGCCAGAGGTGACGGCAGACATCCATCGTCGTTGTAGTCAACGGAGATGGGGTTGTTAGCATGAAAGTTCGAGTCGGTCCATTGGGAAAGAACAAAGGCACATGTGGCGTTGTTGAACAATGCACTTTCCGGATGACAGACAGATCCAGGAGGGACGTCCGCAAAAAGCTTGCCAGACACCGTCTTATTCAGCTCTTGCCATGCGGACTGTGCAGGCCAGTTTATTGACGAAGGAACTGGTTTGCAATATGTAGCAGGGCCAGCAAGAGCTTGGTGCAGAGAGGCGAGAAGCAGCAAGGACGCCATGAGAGAAGCCCAAGATTGAGGAGGGCTCATTGTGGAAAGGTGCAATTCAGGCGTAAGATAGACTTATGAGACCAGGAATTTCAAAGAAAATCATGGCTGTTGCGGGCGTAGGAAGTTTGCCTGGGCTGCCGTTTATGTAGTCGACAGAAGTTGTCTTCATCCACATAGGAAGATGGGTTTTCGACATCGCCAAAAGAAGCGCCCAATCTCAGTCATTCTCTTTAAGGCAAATCCGAATACGTGACGGGATTCTGCCTTGCAGGTTCAACCGCCATGGGTGTCGCGAGGAACTCGAGTGCCATGACTTTGGACAAATGGCCGTCGACCCAACTTTTGTTTCTGAACATGGCAATTATCTCTCATCACCTTGTTTGCCTGCCTTAGCTGTGCTGGTGGCACCTAGAACAGAAAGATGATGAAGAAATTTCATCTGTCGATGTTCGCAAAATGGGCCGAAAAGCGTAAAGTGCCAATGCCGTAGGCGAGGAAGGATCCTTTCCCCTCGAAAGCTTGACGTTTAGAGTTAGATACCTCTAGCCTAGTTAGCATTTAGCATACATGTGTTAAGTAATATCTGGAGTCCAGCCGGCCTCCAGGCTGACTTCGATTCTGCCTCGCCACACGTGGAAGGTAGATATTGATCATCTCTAACATCATCGGAGCACCCATGCAGGCATTCCTCAAGTATTGGTATCCGTTCTTGCAGATGATACGAACAGGCTCTGGTTCCCTGGCTTTCGAAGGCGGGTACCATACCCGAGCACATGAGTGATCACCCGAACCCGGAATGACTAGTCAAACAAATGCCAGTCAGCCACTTTCGTGGCCCAGCTCCAGCAATACGGTCTGCTGTGAAGCTCATATCAGGGTTGAAACTGCCGATGTCTCTCAAAAGCAGGGATAGGCGGTACTAGAAAGATGTATTGGGTAATCCCCTACGAGAGACCGACTACCTCGTACTAAGGATGGCATGCCTGGCGAGGCTGATACCTGGTGGGCTGGATTCAAAAGTAAGTGGCACAGTCTGACAAAGTAGAGTGATGCACTATTGGATCGAAGACGCCCCTCGTTCACAGCAAATATATTGTTTACCTTAATAATGGTCGTACTCTGACCTTCGTCCTACAGTGTTATTTATATTCTGCATAGCGGCAGCGTCGACGTAATCGAGCTGTCTGAAATATATATTTCAGGCCAGACTCTGGTATCCGCTTTTATTTCGGGTAGCGGAGCACGGGGTACAGTAATACTGTGATAGCCACGAGGCTGGGTCTTTGTTCTCTCGAGGCTCTTCAGGGCTCTGGTCACGTGCCGCAGAAAAGGAAAGGAAGCCGATCCCCAATCAAGCCACTACACAGTAGGCACACCAGGTTTCTCCGCACCTCCATCGAGAAATTTGGGAGTGTTACGCACAATGATCTCTACAGAAATGCTCATCCTCTGATGTCAAGTCCTTTGCCTCTCAAGGAGACGAGAAACATGGCTTCTGCGACGCCGCCATCATTGTCAGTTACGCTGCAGACATCAATTGTCCTTTGCCAGCGATTCGCTGCATCACTGGCCCCAAATTCGCCGTTTGAAGCGCCTGAAAGCGACTCAACCGCACCTTCTCCCTTGGTCCTTTTACATGCTGCCGCGACGACTCTCAGAGCGCAAGTGACCAAGTTGTCACTGTTAGCGATTACGGCTCCGTTCACCGCGACCGCCGTGACCACATGTCTCCTCCCATTAAACGAATCAATCCTCACCTCGCTAGTCACAGCCGCGCTGTTAACGACACCTGACCGGACTATACCGTCTTTCTCTGCCGAGTGCCGCAATCTGGCTGCCGCAGTGCTCCGTGATATGCAAATTCTCCTGCGACTCCTAGAGGTACGGAGTCAAACTGAGAAGCCCACAACAGAACTTGAGGAAAAAGAAAAGAAAGGTTTTACAGAAGCCGCTGGCAAGATCTGGGACGACTGCGATAAACTCATTCCCTTGGCTGCCGAGGGCGTTCCTGGATATGTTGTGCGGAAATCGATCCAGTGGCTCGACCTCATGAAAGATGCAGTGAAGGAATTGGAAGATTGGGATCCCGAGGATGATATTGATGACCATGACCCGTTTGGCATCAACCACAGTGATCACAATGAATCTGATGACGCCAATGATGAAGACCGTAACGGCGATCGAGTCGCCATATCTGCGGGCGTCAAAGAACAAGCACTCAAAGTTTTGAACCGCATTCCGCAAAGCATCCACGTCGTCATCAAGCAAAGGCTTGAGAAGATTCCGACAGCCCAAGCCACCACGGCTAGCCGAATGTCTCACTTGGACACGCTCCTCAAACGAATCCGTACTATTTCTGAACTTATCGACGAATCTGCCGAAGGCATGTATCTTGGAGACCTTGAACTATGTCTCAAGAAGGCAGGCGAAGCTCGGGCGCTTACCATTGAGGTAGTGGAATCGGTGCTGTATCCGATCTCAGAGGTGAACAAAACGACAACAGCACCAATGGAGACCAAGGAAGACAGATACGTCCAACGAGCACTTGAATGGATTCGACAGGTCGACCCCGGTGGATATTCGAGAAATCAAACGTGACGCGTTCTCGCCAATAGTGAAACAGTCATTGCGATCCAATACTATTTCGCGCTACATTTCAATGTTTCATGTCAATCCCTGTGTCGATTGCAACCTGTCTGACGACCAAGTCTTCCTCTCAATCGCCAGTGCCCTCCTCGCCCATCCGACCGTGATCCATGTCCAAATGACTGCCCACACCGTGGGAGCGCCCCAGCCAATACCATAGGCAATGTCATCACTAGTGAGGTATATCGCCACAATTAGCACTGCGCCAATGACAATTGCGGGCACGGACCAGAACCATAACAAATGCATCAGCAGCGCTCGAAAACGGGGAGAAGCATGGTATCTGACTAGGGCGGCCGTGCGAAAATTCTTTCCCCCTTTTCCGTCCACAGCACAGATGTCCTCGAACAGGCAGAATGTGAGCGGTGGACAGATTGAGTTCTTCACATGTGAACTGAGCCGGAAGTATCTTAACGTCCAATGATGGTGAGCAGCCCAGCCGTTGACAACCAGTATCACGCCGGTCACTATCATTCCGACCGGCATAGGAAGCGCTAAAGCTCGGACTGAAGGATAATGCGGAATGCTGAAAATGATCAAAATGATCGTCATGACCGTGAAAGGCGTCATCAGAACGTATTGGGTGCTGTCGAGGCCCCAAAACCGCGGACTGCCAAACAATGGCCGATATTGATCACTCGGTCGTATCAACCGCCAGCTTCGAACTCCAAATTCATAGCCAGTGACGAAGCCAAACAAACTTGTGATGATGGCAAAGTAGATCCCTATTAATGCAGGTCAGTTGCTCCGTCGTCTAGAACGTCGATCACACAATCGCAGCTTACCAGATCTCATGTTGGTGCCTTTACTCAGCCCGTAGTACAGCGCGATCGGAAGAAAACAACATTCTGCAAGGACCAAAACCGTGAAGATTGACACAGACAACGTATGGTGTCGCACATCGAACGGCAATGGAGGCGGCTCGTCGAGACTTTTCCAGCCATCCCCACAGATTAGCGCATTGAACTGCTCCAAAGCAAGATGGTCCGGAGGCGTTGTGGTGGTGGTCGAAGTTTCAGAGGTTCGCGGTTCAACAGGTTTCACATCGCCACCGCAACTGGAAGACTTCTGAGATGGGCGCTCTTCCTGAGCCTTTTCGGTGGTCCTGTTCGCCATCGTTCTCCAGTTGGACAAGAGGGCGTTGAGCAACTCGCGCAGGTGCTGTTTATGTTGCGAACACGTTGCCTTGCGCTTCAACGACGTAGAGCAGGAAGTTCAAGCCGGTCGTGGGACGAGTCAACGTTCTATCCTGTAGGCTTTCGGCTTCGAAGAGACATTGAGCATTTTGAGCGACGTTTTGAACGATGCAAACTCCAGCATCGAGTTTCTTGGTTCGAGGCGCAGCAGGTGTACTCGCAGGGGTCCGTCATGGACTTGTGGCGGATTTCCCGAAGCAATCGAACGACGGACCAATCCCATCCAGGCTATTGGCGATGGGTAAGCAGCTCGCAGGAAGACCACGTCAACACTCGCCCGATCGTGCAACACCCTCGTCGCCATTCGCTGCAAGTAAAGTGGCCTAATTCGGCACTTGGGCCCAGAATCTGGCGACACCTTGCAAAATGTCTTTCGGCCGGAACCAGGATTCTCCGTATATATACATGCACATGATCCTGTATGTTCTGGATGAATATTACTTGCGAACACGAGCAGAATCCTCCGGAAGGACCCGGCCAAGAGGGTTCCAGCCAAGATGGGTTCCTGCGATGCTGGAATTGCAGGTACGAAGTTCGTGAAGGAATCATTTTCCTCCTGGTAAGCGACAACGGAATAAAAGTTGGCCCGAGCCTACGTTTGACCGCTCTAAATTCCTTCCCTCTCGAATCTTGGCGCCATCCACATGAAATTTTCATAATACGCATCTCGACATTCTCGCGAAGGAAAGGAGTGTGAGGCTTGCAAGTAAAGAGTATTCCTGGAAATATCTCAACTCCATAGAGATGGCGAGTGTGAGCACTGTCGCCTCATGCGTTGCCCAATTCGTCGAAACAATTGTCGATTCTCCGATTCTGTGGCTTTTACTGGTGCGTCACGACGGGATTCAGGCAACTCGAACAGTCTTGCCGGTCTCTACCTGATAAATCCAGCCGCTGATGGTAATGTTGTTTGGCACCAGCTTGCTATCGCTGAGATACTGCACGTCCTTCCTTACCGCCCCTTCCCGGTCTGAGAAGGGAAGAAAGTCCAGCTGACGGGATTTGAGCTCAGCCAAGGCATCAGATCTGCATCTTGTGGTTGACGGTTCTCTCTCAGACTTTTGGTCTCTCTACCCCAGGTTCTTCTCAACCAACCCCTGGGCATCTTCATTCTTGAATGTCAGCATACCGCATCCAGTGTGCTTGACAAGGACAATCTCTTGAGTGCCCAGAAGCTACTCTGATATGACGATACTCCGCAATGCATCGTGCGCGGACTCCCCGGCTTATCAAGAGCATTAGCTCTCATGTTCACCGTCGCCCACTTCATTGTGCGTCTGTTGATGGTACAAGACAATTATCATTGAACCATGAGTGTCTCACATTCCGAATCACATGAGCATCTCCAAGGTTAATACCGAATGCTTGCGCGGGATCGATTCGAGCATCCATGCAAGTCAACACAAGATATTTCTTGGCTGGCGGAAGAGCAAGATGCCCCTGCGTGAACAAGGAGGGGTATGCCTCGGAGGCTGATTCAACATTCTTCTGGATCGCGGACATGTTGGCTGTGCGCCTTGTAGTGTGCTCTCTTTACTCGGTCGCTTGGGACTGGAACACTGCTACTGGGTACTGCCAGACCAAAATCTCTGCTCAAGATCCAAGAAATGCGGGATTCTCATGAATTACATGAACGATAGGGCCAGAAGATGCCGCGGGAGGGGTAAGGAGCTTCTTGCCTCGTTCTTGAGCTCATAATCTCAATATGGCGATGACGTGCTCGCTCGAGAGGAAGAAGCAGGACCAATACCGAGGCGCCTGTTTCTTTCTTCGATGAAGGGCCCATCAGGTACGGAGGCGCGGGCCTTCGGCCTTCTTCCGTGCTTTCCTCGGACTACCATTCGTTGCCCAGATGTTTATTTCCCAGAAGTAAATCTTGATGCCGAACATGTCTTCGAACCAATTGGTAACGAGCTCCACATTGGAATCAGTTGGGGTCATCATGTTTCCCGCCATCGAAATGCGGCTTGGCTTTCAATATTGGCAGTGCTCAGGCCGACAATAACGTTGCAGCTGACGCTACAATAGCAGGACACCATGTCATCAACTAACCACCGAAATTTATTCATCTTCTGAAAGTCCTGGGTATCTGCTATCGTGAACACCGACTTGACGATACCAAAAATACGGACCCGTCGTGCTCAGCAAGACACGAGAGATCCCGAGAACAGACCCTTAGACGTACAGTCCTTCATGCTGAAGGGGCAGACTTGTCCTCGAACCGCAAAGACAATTTTCCCAATGACGCTCCTTGGGTCCATTGTTGGTCAGGTTGAGATGAAATCGAGTAGGCGATGTCTTGGATCGATATCGCTTATAGGCCCAGAATAACCACGCTCCTGAAGGAACAGGCCCTTGCTTCTCCAGTGAAGTAGTCTATCCGATGAGTCTGGGTCTGACTACCTACACTCGGGCGTCTCCTTTCATGTGGGTTTCAATCATAAAATTTCCCTCCGATCAGTCCAACAGAGGCGTCCATGAGGCAGACCGTGAAACTAGTATCGTCAAATCTATGCAGTGCAGGTCTTCATCGACAACGATAGGTATCCATTGGAAGATCGAAGGATTATCCAAGAACGGCTCCGGTGAAATCTAGATCGAAGATTCAGCCTTATCCGGCTAAAATAAGGGCTTGGGCTAGCCTTGTTGGAGGGCGTTTGGTTTGAAGCACCGCTGGTGGATTGGTGGCGTTTGCTCTGAGAAACCAATCACTCAGCTGGACGCGGATTCGAAGTCTCATACCTCGTATTGTCCGAACCGGTCTCTGAGTCTAGACCAGAGTCGAAGCCTTGGTAGCTCATGCAGCCAGTGACAGGAATATTACACCCCTTCGACGTCCTTTCATCCTTTCGTGCGGGTGATGCTGTGTGCTGCCGGTCAAAGAGTGTTCGATTGGCTTGTCGTCAATGCAGAAGCAGCCCGGAGGGAACATATCAAACCATTTGTTGGAGGAGCGCTTCACAAACCAATCGTCGTTGGCCATGCCAGAGAAGTCGTTTTCATCAGCGCCACTCGCGAGGAACATTTATTCGAAAAGGTCAGAGATCACCAGAGAGCGGTATAGAGTCTCCATTACTCCCTTCCTCCTGGCGGGAATACAAGGATTCCGCATAATAAAGAAGCTTGTTTACGCAACTCCACCATTTCCGCCACAGTTAGAGAACCGATTGCTTTTATCCACCCGGAGAACTAGAACGGATGGGCGATTTCAGTAGTACTGCATATCTAACCCAATTCGTGCTTCCTTTTCCCAACTTCCTTTCCAAATGCTGCTCGTGATATTGATTTCGTTTATAGGTGACAGGTCCTGCTTACATGAGGCCGAATCTAAAAGGATGGCCAAAAAAACCCTCACTCAACTCGCGAGACAACGTATCTAACGGGCGGTCGCATACGAAGCAGCCTTTTTGTCCAGCTTCTCGGCAGCAGCCCCAGGTCGAAGAGAGGTCTAAGCCCAGAATCTTTGGTTTGAACCACCCTCCCAGGTCCAGGCGCGGTATTTGGCCTATTTGATTTTATCTCCTTTCCTCTGCTCTGTCTCTCAACCTCTTTCCTCTAGACCGCCGAAGAAGAGGGAAACAGACTTATTGCAGTCATCACTTTTTGGTTTTTGATCCTGCTCCTTCCCCTAAACTCCCAACATCCATCCATGATCTCCACGCGCCTCATCCCCCTTGGCCCAATATTCTCCTACATATCATATCGCAAAACGTCATACATGCATATGTAAAGCACGAACCGGCTCCAAGTCGTGCCGTACCCCAGAAGACGGGCAATAACGCCGGCGCCGTCGACAGTCTACAGTCCATACCAAGCGGCATACATGCGGCATACATGCGGCAGCTCGAGTTCTGGCGCCGGATGCAAAAGACGTACGCGCCGAATGGGACGGCCACGCCCCAGCAGCGGCAGATGATGGATCAGTTTCTACGGAATTACTGGCGGAGACCGTCGGCGGCTCATCAACCGGCTCCGGCTTGGTCCCGGTGGGGGAGTAACAACAATAACAACAACATGATGGGGCAGGGAGCCGCAGCTGGCACAGGGACGGGGTCAGGCATGGGGCTGGGCATGTGGTTAGGCGACGGCTGGACCCCGCAGGTGCAGAGCATGGACCAGGACCAAGCGACGCAGATGTTTGCGGGCTATGACCCGTACACGCTAATGAGTCTCCTTGGGTATCCCGCCGGTGCGATGGGGATGAATCCATTCGGAGGCATGATGGGCATAGATCCTACTGGAGGGATAGGCATGGGCAAGGGCATGATGGGTATCAATATGAGCCCCATGATGAACGACATGGCAATGGGATTGATGGGTTTTGACCCAACCGGCAGCATGAGCTTGTGGGGGTTGATCCGACCAGTATGATTCGACTAGTATGACGATAGCGTTTGACCCCTAACAGGATAATGATAGGCGGCTTCGATCCTTCCATTGGGCTGGGCTCTGGAGGAGGATACAGTATCATGTAGCCTGATGGAGCCACTACTCGCACCGGTCCCAAAGACACCAGTGATCCAGCCGAGTTAAACACTTCATACCAACCGTAGCAGTGTCAGAATCGAAGGGGTAGTATTCACAGTACCAACAATGCAGTATAGCGTGGAGATGACGCTTCAAATAGCGAGAGAAAAGGAAGACAGAATGAAAAAGACAAAATCCCGTAGTAATGTCCACCTTGTCAGCCTTGTCTGAGCCCAACATCAAGGCCTATTTCTCCGCTAGATCCAAATTCAAATCCAATCATTTGCTATTTCTTATAATACACCATCCAAGCAAGCGAATTCTTTTTCAGACCGCAGTGGCGTTCTTCACGTCTGTCTCTGTCCGTGACATAGCATTAGGGCTGGTACTTACTTCCCTGCCAAGCGACGAGACATGAGTGAACTTCTTAGTATCATTTGCGTTTTGATCGATAGAGAGCACACACTGCACTTTGAGCAAATGCTCTCGGTGAGGGAAAGAAAATTAAAAATACGTTGTCTCGCAAAAATGAAGAAGAGAGAATATTTTAGGCTGCTCCTCTTGATTCTATATGTTATGCTCATTGGCAATTTGGAAAATCTAGTCCCTCGAATTCCCACGCCGCAACCGATTCTATTTAATCCGGCTGGTCGACTCTCAAAGCTTACCCATCATGCCTGTGTACGGTATTCTATGTAAACAAATTCACACACAACCGTGAACTCGGCAGCATGCAATAGCAGAGATTTCGCATTACTCGCCGGCCTTCTTGCTCTGCTTTGTCCTGAGTTTCAGACAAAGGTATACCAACGCGTACGAGCTTATCGCAAACAGAACCACAATGGCAGCGTCTCGCCAACCATCGTATTCATGTTTCAGGTTGATTGTGTACAGGTAGTCGGCGCCGGTCCGGTACTCGCAAACCCTGCAGTTGTCGCGATCCTCTGGGTTCGTGAGGTTGGCTAGCATTCCGGCCGGGCTTGTCAGATAGTCTGAGAGATACTCGCCGCAGGTGGCATTGCCGGGCGTGTCAAAGACGGCAAACTCCTTGCCCGTGCAGGATACCCTAGTGTCCCAGACATTGAAAACTAGTAGGCCACCCATCACTATAGTATTTCATAGCCTTCCCGTTAGTCACATGGTGCATTAAAAATAACAAGTGCATGCCATGGAAAATGAAAGAGTCTGCACTTACAGTAATTGAATGGGTTCAGCCAATAGATCCAATATCTCCAAAAGGCCTGGATTTGGCCATAAGGGACTAGGACGCCACAGAAAGCGACCAGCGTTCCGATCAGGAGAGGGTTGACGAGCGAAGCAAAGACCGCGTTCGGGGCGTAGGCGGCGATGAACTGGCCAATACCCGTATATACAAATTCGTAGAACAACATGATGAAGAAAGTGCCTCCGGCACTGTTGCTGTTGTTGGGAAAACCGACCGTGTAGTACCAGCAGACGAAGTAGAGAACCGCACAGATGCAGAGATAGGGGATTTCTGAAACTATTAACGCAGTAACGAAGGCGATCCAACTGTACATTTTTGATTTCTTTTCGCGCGTCTCGAAGATATCCCGCCGCTCAATGAAGAGTGGTTGTAGTTGGTTGATGACTCCTGGAGCCACGAAGATGAAGTTGAAGATGGTGAAGAGCTTGAGCTGAAGGTCCCCGACGCCCTCGCCAACCATCCAGAAAGAGAAGCCGTTGAATAAAGCGGATCCGATGTGTAGTGCGATCTTGTTGTTCACATAGTCAGTGTTGCGGAACAGGGAAAGATTCAGGCGCTGAGTGACGATTTTGATCTGCGACCACAGCGGTAGGGCAAATTCAAAGCCATCATCCTGTGTTCCTGAAGGTTTGTTGACAGCTTCGCTGATAATGGTCTCCAGTTCCCTTGATACATTCTGATGTTCAGCCGAATTTAGCCAAACTTGGGCCCAGTCGCGCCCCTGGGACAAATGCCCAGAGACGACATCTATCATATGCTCGGCTGGATTGGATTCCGGCGGACATGGGGCTCCATATCGACGGAAATAGTCTTTGACAATTGCACCATTCTCGCCGATGTCTCCAAAGTACACAGTCTTGCCGCCCTTTGCCAATAGGAGGAGTGTATCAAATTGGGCAAACAATTGAGCAGATGGTTGATGAATTGTCACTAAAACGGCTTGCCCAACATCTGCCAGCTTGCGAAGGAATCGAACTGTGTTGTAAGCAGATTGTCCGTCGAGGCCCGACGTAGGCTCGTCCAGAAAGATCAGAATGCTCGGTTTGGCCACGAGTTCGACGCCGATAGTTACCCGTTTTCTTTGCTCGATGGACAGTCCAGCACCAGGGAGCCCAATCAAAGTATTCTCGATATCGTGGAGCTCCAGTAAATCGATAATGATATCGACATATTTCAACTTTTCCGCCCTGGAAACGTGCCTGGACTGTCGAATCAGAGCTGAAAACTCCAGTGCTTCTCGTACCGTAGCGTAAGGTTCGTGAACATCAAGTTGTTCGCAATAGCCAGCAGATCGCTGAAATGAAACTGGGAGAGGTCTTCCGTCGACAAGAATCGACCCTTCGATGGTGCCTTCGGTTTTACGTTGGGCTAGGACATCGAGCAAGGTAGTTTTGCCAGCACCTGAAGAGCCCATCAGCGCTCCAAGCATTCCTGGTTTGACCCAACCTTGTATGTTGTCAAGGAGCTTGAGATCTCCGTGGGATGTGTGGACGGTATAAGAGAGATTTCTCCAAGTGAAAATCGAGCTGTTTTGGATCAGGCCCTCACTTTTTGGTGGCGTGTCTTCCTCTGTAGCTCTGAGAGAGGAGTCCGAGCTGGTTATCTGTTTTTCTGACTGCTGAGACTCTTCATCTTCCAGCAAATGGCGGACTTTGTGGACGTTTTCTCGCGGAATGAGGAAGTTGCTGCCTTGTTCCGAACTTGCTTTCCACCTCATCGTGAAAATGACGGTGATTCCTACGAAGAGCGCCCACCATGCCCAGACAATGCCAAAGTTTCGCCAAAGATGGGTATGATCATAAGAGAGCGAGCGCAGGTAAGCATCGCCGGTAACAGACGTTTCCCCCCGAGTTGCCCCTCCAACACCAGCACACGACTGGTATTGGCTATTGGCATAGCCCGGACCAACTGGAACAAGGTTTGTTCCAACGCAAGGGATGATTTTGCCGTGGAATTCATTTCCCAAAAGACTCTCGAAGGCATAGGCTAACGGGTCGATCCAGAAAATCCAGACAAACCAAGGGTGCATGTCTGGTTTCGCGATCATGTATCCAACATACATTATCAGCGCTGCAACAAGAAATCCGGATACTTTCGAGGCGCCATCAAAGGTTCTGAACGCTGCCCCTATCGATCTGAACACGGCAGTCATACACTACAAACAAGTTAGTGGTCTTCACTTGATGTTTCTTCCTGTCAGGATTGCCAGAAATAGGGGTGTTATTACCATTGTCGCAGAAAATACCACAACCCAGAAAGTGAAGAACTGCCCAGCCGAAGCGGAAAGCCCGACCATCCAGTACAGTATGACAGAAAGTGAAGTCACCTGGAAGATAAGCGGGGGGATGTCTGCAGCAATCTGAGCTATGCAGAAAGCAGCTGGATGATACAGAGCGAAGTATTTGTGTTTCGCCAGGACAGGTCGCCCAACAAACGAGTCAGTCACTTCGGACATAGCTAACAAGCTATTGTACAGTAGGGCGAAAAATATGGCGCCGCCTTTGAGGAAGAGACCAGCCGAATTGTCGGGTGCACTGTAGAATAAAGAGCCTGCAATGAGAGCTTGAACAATGGTCGATGCCTGTTTAATGATGAATGTGGCTTTGTCTCCCCATATGATTTGGTATTGCCGAATTACGCAGGCCTTTACCTGTGTCAGGAAGCCGGTGGTCAAGGGGCTGTGGCGAGCAAGTTGTTTATCTTTTTCGAAGATGACGGACTCCCGGAATGCCAGGGTATCTGCCTCCGCCGTAGATGTCGACGGGTACTCATACTCTGCCGCCATGTGCTCGTACAAAGGAGAAGCCTCATAGTGCTTGAGGAGCTCGTCGGCGTTTCGAGGAAACTTCTCCTCGTAGCCATGGCGGATCTGTCGCTCGGTGGGAACGGTAACGCCTGTCAGGAAATCTGCAACATTCGCTCCTTCTGGGCAGATAAACCCTAGGTTTTCCATGAATGGCTTGGCTTCCCTCATCGGGCCATAGAACACCTGCTTTCCTTGATCGAGAACCAAGACTTTGTCGAAGAGATTGTAAATGGCATTTCCTGCTTGGTAGAGGGTGACAATCGAGGTGAGGCCGAGAACGTCTGTCATGGTGCGAATGGCTTTGGTATATTCAAGGGCAGTGCTTGCGTCAAGTCCTCTTGTACTATTGTCCCAGCAGTAGACTGCTGCGCGCGTAGCCAGACATTCGATGATGGACACTCGCTTCCTTTCCCCTCCAGACACACCTCGAACATATTCATTGCCAACTTTGGTGTCTGAGGTATGGGAGATGCTCATGGATTCCAGAAGAAAGTCCTTGAACTGTTTTTGATATTCTTGTCGCGAATGCACACCACTCGGGAGGTGGAAGGGGACCTTCAACCGGGTTGCAAAATCAATTGTTTGCCCGACCGTAAGTGTAGGATAGAAGAGTTCCTCCTCGGTGTTGATGACAATCTGACCTCGATATTGCTTGGCGGCATTATGATCCATGGACCCGTACCAGACATCTCCCGAAATGGACTTGTATCCTGCTCTTTTGTTCGCTAGCATCTTGAGCAAGGTTGTACACCCAGAGCCAGGCCGCCCTAGAACGAGAAGCATCTCTCCAGGCTTGACGCAGCCATGGGATCCATGCAGGATAGTCTTGAGCAGTGGTTTTCGGCGAGATTCTTTCAAACCTTGGAGGACATT